CTTTAATTTTGTCCAAGGGCATGCTGGTATGAAAGGCAATGAGAGAGAAGACGCTCTGGCTGGCAGTGTAACTATCAGGAATGGGCCTTCTATGGACAGGAGAGACCTCATCAATGCCATATGAGGGACTAAACGCTGGGAGGCTTTCGGTTTTGTGGAAAATGATTTTTCAGTCAATAAACTGCAGATCATGGGTGTACCAGTTGGAGCCGCGAGAGAGGAAAACAACACGGAAACCACCCATCGTTACATCAACCAGAACAAAATGGGAGTTAGCCTAAAAAACATTTAGAGACATACTCAAGGGGAGATCGGAGCAAATACGGCCATGTCCGATAAAGATGATCTCTAACATAAAGTATGAACTATGAACATGACCAATTAGGCATCCCTTAAAAAGATGTCTTCATTGGCCATGTCCATCGTATAGCTACAGAATACGGACATAATAATTCTCAAACTATTGAAATGTCACCATAGGTTACAGAAATTTATATTAACCAAGCATAGGTGGAATAACAAACACAGCAACAATTTACAAACACAGCACACCGTAATGCTTTGTCTAGAATACAACGAACATTTAAGAACGATTTGATTGGTAGTCTAAAATGTTACACTTAATACAAATAAATAAACACAGAGGGAAGCACTTGAGGTCGTAGAAACACACACACACACACACACACACACACACACACACACACACACACATATATATATATATATATATATATATATATATATATATATATATATATATATATATATAAGATAAATAGACAATCTCTTGATCGGCACTCATAGAAAGAAGTAGAAAAATTAAAGCAACACTAGGCAACATCATTATTATCATCATCAGGTGCCTTGCCGACTGGAGTGGGCGACCATGCCATTCCATAATCTGCGATCTCCTGCAGCATGTATCCGTTCGTGTGCCGACACACCTCCATGCCATGCAACAAGACTGTCAAGAATCTTCTCTCGTTGTCTTCCTCTATGTCTCCTTCCACATATCTTTCCAGTGGTCACAACATGTTCTATTTTCCTCTTCTCATAACATAGCCGAAAAATGATGTCTGTCTCCTTCTGATGTCTGTAATAAGTTGTCTTCGGGCTCCCATCTCTTTCAAAACCTATTGGTTGCTCTTTTTGGCTGTCTAAGGTATTCTAAGCATTCTTCAGTAAAACCACATCTCCGAGGCCTCCAGAAATTGTTTGGCCTGCCTACCGATTGTCCAGGATTCACAGCCATATGTTAAAACTGGATGTATGTAGCAAGCAAGTATTCTTTTTCTAACTCTCAATGACAAGGATATATTGCACAAGATGTTTTTCATTTTATAAAACTGCAGTTTTTGCCTGTCCTATTCTGTTTAGGCAATATAACAGTCGAAAGCTATTGTTACCGTGCCTGTTATAGAAGAACGCAGGAACCTGAGATTAAGGCACTTTGTACCAACACAAATTCTTATGGGCACTGAAGGACACTCACTAAGTACCAGCAGAAGGGTGACAATATCATCGGGGCAGTGTCGTTTTTAGGTAGGCCCAGACTCGAAGGTTCATACTGACGTCCGTTGTGCGAACTGATGTTGAGTATCGATTGGGCGGTTTGGACAAAAAGACGATGCTGACCCAGAGAAAAGATGACTAATGGTCACTCTAGGTTAAGATTATAATTTAAGAAGAACAGCGAGTTACTGCAGCAATGATCTGTTACAGAACGATGCAAGACATTTTTTTTTACAGTGACCAAGAAACGCATTCTGCGTCGTTTGGTTCTCAAACTAGGCTGAAACCCCTTAAGTCTCCCAAATGGCTCCTGGAAAGTAAGTAATCTTCACCGTCAGTATTACCCTTATGTCAACGCCCCTATGACTTGAATGAAGGTATTCAAATTCTCCCAGGACTTGTAAAAATAGCGTATGATGTCAGCGGATGTACCTACACCTGGCATTACTTCCTGTTGAGCAGGAGTTACCTCCCATGATGGAGATGCAGAAGTGAAAGAGAAAGCTTCAAGAAGTGGATATGTAAATAGTGCGTTTTTCCCCCCTAGGTTTCTCTGTGAATTATAGTTGCTGAACTTCTGACATCAAGTAAGACAAACAGCGCATGTATCCAAAATGTTTTCAAAATCTAGTTTATAACTTTGAGATTTTTGTATTTTTATTTATCTTCTATCTTTCCCCCGCAAGTATCGCCAGGTCAGTCAGGGACGGAGTGCAGCGGAGCCACACGAATTCGCGTAACGTAACGACTAGATTATTAAATTTTCTGTGATTGTTTTCATGACCCAGAGCATAGTTTAACTGTCAGCTTGTTTGTTGAAAAGAAATATTTTTATGTTTACTGTTTAAATTAAGAAAGTAGAAAGCACTTACCACAAAGACCTATTTCCTGTTCTGCAAGAGAACATGACTCCCGTGTCGTGTCCCGGCTAGGCTTATGGACACAGGGGAGCTGCAAGAGATGAACTTTTCACCAAGTGGACAAGACTCAATCATTAATCAGTGCACAACAGGCGTCATCAGTCGTTTAGCTTTTAGAAGCTTTTGAGGAGGAGATCTGCACACCTGTGGATCTGTCCAGGGGGCTATGATGATAATCTTAACTAATAATTATGTTGACCGCTAGGGCATAGGCAAGTATGTTCGTCAGTGAATGATGATAGTGGATCACAATAAATGTGTTACTCCATCATGGAATAGCAGGTCCTTTACAGCAGTGTTCTTCAACCCATAGGCAGTAGCCGACTATTGGGCTCGGGGAAAGTCCAGTTGAACCGCCAACATATTTTGTTTTAACTGTTTCAGGACGAAATTTTTTCTGGGGTTTGGATATCATCATTTTGAGCTAAATTTTGTGTTAATCTGCAACATGAGAAAGTTAAAACCTTTCTGGAAAAAAAAAAGTATTAGATCTATAGTGATATTTAATGTATAAAATTAAAGGGAAATGAATATAGAATACATCTAAACTAATTAAGGATCAGTATTACAACAACAAAATAGTACAATGAAACAGCATTCATGAATGTTAGGCAGACATGAAGAATGTTTTACACATAAAATGTTGTGCTTATCTTACTTTTTTACTTGATCAAAAGCACTGCTATCCATTTCTAAGAATCCATATGCATTCTCTATAAAGTTATGCATCAGCTAGTCTTTCTTTCAGGCAAGTGATGTAAATAATTTGGACTTTATGACCATTTCTGTGTGATCTGTCAAATTTCACAACTATCAAATTCTGGACACAGCTCACCGAAACAGTACGATCTGATTGAAATATTTTGTTCAACTTCATTTCAACTCATATTATCGTTAGTAGGTTTGGCACTAAGAAAGAATCACTCAGAACAATGGGATAGGTTTTCAATCAAGATAAGACAGAATACATAATAATAACTAGACAGGAAAAGGATATAAACTCTGGCCACATACAAGTCGAAAATATGAAAATCAAACGAACAGAAACATATAAGTACTTGGGTGCAAACTTCAACTGCTCCAACATGCTGAGAGAAGAAATACAATCTAGCCTACAATCTGGAAATAAAGTATACTGTGCCCTTCAACATCTGCTAACGTCAAAGTATCTGTCTCGCAACACCAAGATCAAAATTTATAAAATGTTGATAAGACCAGCCATTTTATATGGCTCTGAAATTTGGAGCACAACTTATTACAGAGAGAACAGAATGAAGCAAATCTTATAGAGATGGAAACCGGTGAATGGAGAGTGACAAGCAAAAATGAAATTCAAACCATCACTGAATCATGAATAGACTGAAATGGTCGGGGCAATATTGAAAGAGAAAGATAAAACTGTATCACAAGGAGATGAACGGTCGACCAGGCAAACCACTGATGGAGAGATAATATCCAGACAGACCTGCAAACACTTGGTGTCACCAACTGGAAAGAGAAGGCCAGCCAGAGAGATGAATGGACGCGGGTGATATCTGCAGCAATGAACCCCAAGGGCTGGGAATGCTGAAGAAGAAGAACAAGGTTTGGCACTTGCATTATTAATCATAATGTCTAGACTATTGTCAGTATCTGGCTCAGATTCATCAATGACCACTGGTCAGTCCCTGCCTCTCTTACATGGTACTGTACCCTCCACTACTGTTTTTCCAAGCCCTGGCAACATTTGATGTGGCTAAAGTCTGTGACTTTCCGAGACAAGATGCTATTTATTGGCCAGTGTTGTAGTATTTAGTATTTAGTGTTTAGATGTGTTCTTCACCTCATGGTCTATGAAAATTGTCAGTGGGCCCAATCTTATAGGGCTAGATGATTTCAGCACTGCCTTGCTGGATAGACTGTCTAAGAGTTAGTCTCAACTCACAAAATGTCATTCTGTTTCATTGGATTTAACATTGTTGTTCAGTGTTGAATTGAGATTTAACAAATGAACCGTTATCCACATTTCTTTTAGATTCTGGCGGCCAGCCAAATAAATTTCTATATTAGCAGTTTCTCTCTCTCTCTCTTTCTCTCTCTCTCTCTCTCTCTCTCATCTCTCTCTAAATCTCTCTACTCTCTCTCTCTCTCACACACACTCTCTCTCTCTATTCTATATCTCTCTATCTCTCTCTCTATATCTTCTCTATAATATATATATATATATATATATATATATATATATATATATATATATATATATATATATATATATATATATATATACTTTTTGTCATATTTAGATAGCGATATATTGTACACCTACCATTTGACACACACATATAACCATATATATATAGATATCTTCTTCTGAACTGCAAATAGATGTAGCTGACAGGGCTTGCTAGACCCTATGGCTGTTGACTTCATGTGAGATGGAAGCATCTTTCTCTGAAAACTGGAGTTGTTAAAAGTTGTATTGCAAGTGCAGGCATCTGATGTGAACTTGTTCAGCAGTTATTGACAGAACTGTTTGTGAAATATTTGTTTTTGATTGTGTTCAGAAAATTATTTTATTCAGAAAAAATGTCAGAATTTAATGATTCAGTGGAATCCATGGATGATATGGATCTACTCTGTGAAGACATGGATGGCCTAATGGATATGACGGATTCGGAGGATATCCCTAGTGCTCTTATAATTGCCAACATTGATCAGAGCATTTTCACTGACCCAGCTGCACAGGTAAGATCAGTTATATATCATCACCAAATGCAAAGAAAGAATCATGATTTTTGATTTCCTCACCTGACATACTGTAAAACTAACAGACTTTCATCCAACCATATACAGTGTCCTCACAGCAAGGGAAAGACAAGGACAATACATGGACAATACATGGACAGATGACATTCAGAAAGAAACATGTAACCTCCAAAGTAAAGAGCTGTCTACCCTGTTCATGCTTGTCAAAGAGCTGTCTACCCTGTTCTTGCTCGTCAAAGAGCTGTCTACCCTGTTCTTGCTTGTCAAAGAGCTGTCTACCCTGTTCTTGCTTGTCAAAGAGCTGTCTACCCTGTTCTTGCTTGTCAAAGAGCTGTCTACCCTGTTCTTGCTTGTCAAAGAACTGTCTACCCTGTTCTTGCTTGTCAAAGAGCTGTCTACCCTGTTCTTGCTTGTCAAAGAGCTGTCTACCCTGTTCTTGCTTGTCAAAGAGCTGTCTACACCCTGTTCATGCTTGTCAAAGACCTGTCTACCCTGTTCATGCTTGTCAAAGACCTGTCTACCCTGTTCATGCTTGTTAGTAACAGAAAACCCATCCCATACATTGCTTGACAGCAGCCAGGACAAGCAACCATCAACCTTTAACTAAAAATTCCTGCAATAATATAGAAAACCACCCATGTGTTACTTACTGGTCCTGTCATGGGAAGCAAAGAATAGTAACACTTTATTTTGTCAGGCATGTCATAACAGGGGACTATGGGTAGCGTTGGCTTCTTCATGCCATTAAAAAGTATAGCCATAGAAACCAACCAGCTGTGGAAAAGTCTACATGAGAGATAAATGCTGCACAGTCAGTGAGGATTGGTGAAGAGGGGGACAAGGCTGCTCCAATAGAAAACTGAAGACCGGTGTGGAGAAGAAAGCGGAAGGAAGCCCGGACCATCAGAGTAAAGGCAGACCAAAAAACACATGGAGAAGGTGGGCAGGTAGGTAGGACATCACACAAGCGATAAACAAAAGTGCCACCATGCAGATAAGGATCACCCCCGGAGAGGTCCCAGAAATCCATTTCAACAATTAGGCCATATTTATGGCCCTGCTGTATGCAGGGTCCCTGGCAAAAGCTGGGATGGGGGCTTCAAAATAACAAAATATTGCATCCCACGAGGAAACGATTTACAATATGGAGAAGGTAGCATTTATTGAAGTTAAAAAGATAGGAGGACATAGGATGGGCTGCATGCAACAGCAAGAGATAAGACAACTTGGCATGGGTTAGAAAAAGGCCTATGCTCCACTGGCAGGTAAAGTGCAGAAGAAAAATGAAAGCAGAATTTATAAAACTCATTTTTTGCAATAAAACATGGGTATGTGTGGATAGATACAGGTACACACTTGTTTCATTAATGCATTTATAAATTATCATTCCTGATTGATGCTGTTATTTTTTTCAGGCAGCATTTGAAAATGTCTTTCGTGATTTGGATAAAGATGTCAGCTTCATCTACCTAAAAAACTTTCGCCGTGCCAGGCTGCAGTTTTCATCAACAGATTATGCAGCTATTGCTCGAATTCGGTACGATGGGGTCGTGATTTGTGGACAGAGCATTAGGTGCTACTTTATCCAGGTAACTAGTGTCTGGTTATCTCATAGAATGTTTACTGGCACTTTTCAGTCTTTCCAGACGATAGTTTTATATTGCGCTAGTAGCAGTAGTATATGGCAAGATCCCCCCCCCCCCCTCCCCCTTTCGGCTGTAACAAAATATGATTAAAAGAGGAGGAGAAAAAGAACAATGCCAAGGATTGGTGATAAGAGCTCGGAGAAACACATCCAAATCAATGAACGTTTCAGTTATCAAAAGAAACTGGTAATTTAGTGTCCAGATATCACTGTGATGTTGACATTGTTTTGTCTTGATGATATCTGCTATCTTGGGTCTAATATTGGACAAGGCACAATGGAGATCACTCTCCATATCAAGCTGTCAGCGTTATTTTGTTTTTGTGACTGTTCAAGCTGAAATTCCTGATTATTACAAGTGTTGCTCAGGTTGTTGACCTGTGTGCTGTAGGGAGGCATAGGAGACATAGCCAGTGGTGGAAAAAGGGGGGGGGGGGTGGTGTGACTAGCAAGAAGAGTCATCCACCATGGGAGCATGGGATTTCAGGACCATTGTTCCTACTGCATGTATTTAATGTGCTTCTCAAATATTCAATTCTTAATCTGTCAGCAGTCACCTTTCTCCTTTTCCCCTTCCTACTTTCCCTCTCCATGCAATACCGTCCTTAGCATACTGACTCTACAAATCCATCTCATTATCTATATCAGTCACATCCTGCTTGCATACAGCTTCATGTCTTGTTATAGAATGTTCTAGGACACATGTGAACAAGCTGGGGGTATCTTTGTGTAGCGCTCATGCAAGTATCCTGTAGGGTTAAATAGTGTTTGCCACGTGTAGATGTGTGATTCCTAGGTTGGGAACTGACATTGCAAGCTCAGTACTATCTGTTCAACATTTACACAGCACAGTCTGACAGGAAGGACTAGACAGTGGCATTTGTCTTCTATGACTGTCATCAGATTCATGGCAAGGACAGAGATGCAACAAGTCCTCATGAAAGTCTTTACAAGGGAGAACAGTATGTGACAGGGGACATCTCAAACAGACTGCTGGCTGTAAGATAGATTGTTGTTGTTATCGATCCAGCGGCGCATGGGCTTTCACCCTTTGGCCCAATGCCATGTAGTGGAATTTGCATGTTTTCACAAGCTGTTCTTTTCCTCCGTACAAGGTGTTCCACTTGTCTGGTCTCGGAGGAAGTAGCATTCTTCTAGTCTCGCTGAGTTTTGGGCACTCAAAGAGATGGTGTTCAACAGTTTTGTAAGGGTAGTTACATAGTGGCACTCTGGGAAGTGTTGTGGCTGTATTCTGTTTAGATGTCCAATGAGTGGAATATGTTGCATTCTAAGTCTGAAGATGGTGACCTGGTCCCTTCTTGTTAGATGGTTAAAGCTGTCATTAGGATCAGCGCCAGCCATATGTCTATAAACCTCTCTTTCAGTGTCTCCCATGGCCCATCTAGTCAGCCAAGTCTCTTTGTTTATAGCTCTTGTAAGTGTTTTTGCTGTCTGTAGGGTTGTCAGATGGTTGTTCTTGTGTTGCTCCTTTCTTTGCCAATCTATCAGCTCTGTCATTACCTGGTGTGCCGGAGTGGCCTGGAATCCACTGCATCACTATTCTGATGTTGTATGAGCTAATAAGCTGATCAGCATCCAGGATTAGTAAGATAGATGGATGTGGTTGTTTAAAGCATGAATTAAAAAACAAACTTTGATTTTCATATAGAAAAGGTAAACTGTTTTGAGTAGCATTTTCATTTTTGTATGTTTCAGCCCCGGCCAGCCAATGACAATGATAATACCTTTCTGCGACCCCCGCAGCAATCACGCATGTTCCTTATCTCCCCTCCTGCATCACCTCCAGTGGGTTGGGAGTCAATCCCTGAATCAGAACCAGTCATCAACTATGATCTTCTGCATGCCATTGCCAAACTTAATCCAGGTTTGTTTTGTATGCCTGTGATCAGCTAGTTTTTCTGTTTACTAAGCAGCACATTGTGTGTCATTATATTCATGTTTGGTCTGACCACGCTACAGAAATCTGGATGTTTTTTAACATGCCAGACTGTAAATGTTTTAAACAGCATTTTTAGATCTTTAAAGTTAATACTTTGATGATTTTTTGCAATTGCTGTTATTGCCTCCCTGGGCATCTGGTATAAAACTGATTTCTTCTTCTTCTTCACTTCCTGCAGTTACTTCATCATAGTGTGCAGAAAAGGGGAGGGGTGTAAGGATATTCTGTGCGCTCTTTCCAGTGTGTTGTATATGCTGGTCTTCATTTCTGTAAGGTTGTTATTGATGCTGCCATTCCATTGTATGTCCGGTCATCCCTTTAATTTGTGTCTATTTTATACTGAATGGAAAAAAAAAGGAAACACATAGTTATCCAATGGTGAGTTTTTATTATTTGATGGGAAAACCTATACATCTAAAAATTATCATTGCCCCAAATGCAAAAAAAAAACTGTTGATTGCTTGAACACTGAGGCATTCTTGTGTGCAGTTTGATCAGTTTCACTCATTGAATTACACAGATTTTGAATGTCAGAATTATGACAAAATTAGGGGCTTTCCCAATACCCTTCCCCCCCTTTCCAGGATGACGTCACAGGACAGTCCAAAATTTTCTAGGGTGGTAAGATCTGGTTTCCCGGTTTTCTGATGCCTTTAACTAGCCCAAAACATCTAGAATCGGGCCTCACCCCAACCCACCTATGTCCCACGACTGCATGTAGCCTGTCTACCACCCCATAAAATATTTGACTGTGTTTGGTTGGATATTTTGGGATACAACCAAAAATTATAATTCTTTCAGTGGTTATTCAATTTTTGTGTGTGTGTGTGTGTATGTGTGTGTGACTAATGTTTTTACTTCAGCATTGCTCTCTGTGATAGTTAGTACCTTGACATACTTGTCAAATCACCGGACAGTCTCATCTTTTGGTTTCTCACTAGGATGTAAGTATACAAATCCATTAGTTTATATTGAAATTTAAAAAGTTAAGAACAAACTTAAATAGGCATCGGGATACGTCTATCTAGGGCGTGCTCGTGAGCGAGTGAGAGAGAAAAACTGTCTGTGCTGGACAAAGTTGAGATGTGATTTTTGAGAATATGAACAGTAAAGCAGACACTGTGGTAGTGAGAGCTGCTGCAAGTGTTATTTGTTCGTCTATTCTTTTCTGCTGTCTTTACATCCATGTTCACTGAACCAGAATGGATTTAGTTCTTTGCTGCTGTCTTTCTGATGTATGTACATTGTACCAGAATGGATTCAATGGTTCTTTGTTGCCATCTCCATAATATGTGAATACTGTACCAGGAGGGCTGCAACTGTTCTTTGCTGCCGAGAGAAATTCCTTGATGTCTTAAACACTTGGGGTAACGGGGACTAGAACATGACCGGATGTGAAACACTACACATTAGTGATTGTGTGGTATGATGAACTGTAACTTCACACACTGAAATGCCATGTTGAGGATTCTTTCTTTTATATTGTTCAATGTTTCCTAGCATCGTTTTCTTCTTTTATTAATGTCATCACAATATATAAAACACTGATAAGACTAGTGTATTTTATGATTCTGAAATCTGGAGTACTAAAAGAGAGCTTATTACAGGCCATTGAGAACAGGGTCTTACAAGTCTTTGGACCATTCAAAGATACAGACATGGTAGAATGGATAGTCAAAAACAATGAAAGTCATAATCTGTTTCAATGACAACTAATTTCTGGTAGCTAATAACAGACTGATAATTGGAGCATTTTGAGAAAAGGGCAGATAACTGAGGCGAAACTCTGAACACAAAAGGGTTGAATGTAAATAGACCACAAGGTGGACCAAGAGGACAGTAGAGAGATGATATATAGGCAGGCCTACAAACGCTTAGAGTTACCAACTGGAATGAGAAGGCCAGTCACAAAGATGAATGGAAGCAGGTGATATCTGCAGCAATTAAACTTCAGGTCTTATAATGAAAGGAAGATATATTATCAGTCTTCAGAAAGTTTCAGTATGTTATTACATTGGTGTGTATTGTTTCTTCTCAGGAGAAACGCATGAAGTGCATCCTCCATCAATGGCTGCTCCAGCGATCATAGTTCATCTCTGTGAAGATGACACAGGTTTCCCGGCAGAGAAGCCAACAAAGATACTACAGACCAGGCGACCTGACGCTAATTGAATCACATGTCTTTGTATTGCCATACTGACACTGTCACTGCCTCAACAGACATGTTTGTGATGTGACGTCACCCTGTCAGTCAAATGGTTGGCAGGCAGGCATGGGTGCCCTTTGAAGTCGGTTTACTGGGTTCAGTTTCCAGCAGTCCATGGCAGACATGTTTGTTTTCTGTTCTAACTAGGGTAATGTTAAGACATTAACAGGCAGACATGTCTATTTTTCAGTTTTAACTAGGGTAATGTTGAGACATTATCTGGCAAACATGTTTTTCTTCAGTTTTAACTAGGGTAATGTTCAGAGATTATCTGGCAAACATGTTTATGTTCAGTTTTAACTAGGTTAATGTAAAGACATTAACATATAGATAAGGTTATTTTCAGTTTTAACTAGGGTAATGTTAGGACATTGAGAGGCGGACATTTTCAAATTTAATGAGGGTAATGTTAAGATATTGACAGGCCGGGCAGACATGTCTGTTTTCTGTTTTAAATAGGGTAATGTTCAGAGATTATCTGGCAAACATGTTTATGTTCAGTTTTAACTAGGTTAATGTAAAGACATTAACATATAGATAAGGTTATTTTCAGTTTTAACTAGGGTAATGTTAGGACATTGAGAGGCGGACATTTTCAAATTTAATGAGTGTAATGTTAAGACATTGACAGGCCGGGCAGACATGTCTGTTTTCTGTTTTAAATAGGGTAATTTTAAGACATAAACAGGCAATTTTTTTCTAAGCATGGATAATGTTAAAGCATTTGACAAGCATGCATGTTTGTGTTGTTTTAAGACATATAGTGTTAAAACACCGATGGGTACACATTAATAAACAAGAAAAATTAGAATAAATATTATATATATGTTTATTTAAATGTTTAAACAATTGTAGTGTCAGAGCACTTAAATGAGAAATGTTTGTTTACATGTCAGTGCAGTTAAAACATGACATAAATTTGCTGACATATTTATGTTGTGAAATCTTTTAAATGCACTGTCAGAAATACATTTTCTATACAAACTGTAAATATGAAACTTTGAGTATGGAAAGTGTTGTTAAATACAAGTAACAGTAATTTGATTAAAAATGTAACTGGCATAATTTTAAGAACATCTTACAGGTTATAGGATTTTACAAACTTGTAATAATGTTAACAATTTTTATCTTTGTTTGCTGCCATTACATTGTTAATAGCACTTGATAACAGATGGGTGAGTCTACAAATGTTAATTGCTAAAATATTTAACTTTCATATTCTTAAAAATATTAATTAGAACTCGCTGTCTGATATATTTTAGTTTTCTTATGTACAGTACTGTACAAAGAAAATGACTATTCTTTGGTGTTTATGTTGTTAATGCAAATTTAAAATAATGTCAAATCACTAAATTAAAATGATTACTGGCTTCATGACTATGTAATTAGTATTCTCTGAAATAATATCGGCGGGTTAGAACTAGAATACATTATAACAACTGAGAATATTCTCGGAGGAGGATAACTAGAGTACTTTGTATCAGCTGGGACTATCCTCCTGAAAGGAGAGCCAGAATGCTTTGTGTCAGTTAGAAAGTTGTTAAAGGAGAAGAGCTAGTGTAGTTTGTAGCAACTGGGAGAGATTTCTCAGAAAGTAATCAGTTATTAAAAGGGCAAAAGGATCGCCCCGTAGTTGTTTCAATCCTGTGCAAGCAAAAACCACACAGAATGTCCATCAGTACCCCTAGCTTTGCCTGGGAGGCAAGGAACCAGTAGTCTGCATACAAATGAGTCACATCTGTAAAATGGGCGCATACGCAACACTCAGGTTCTGAAACGGGACTGCTGTCAAAAGTGATTGAACAACCAAAATTTTCCACCAGAGTTTACAGCTAGGGAACGCAAAGAAGAATAAGAAGTACCCCTAGTGAAAACATTAATCAGACAACAGCCTCAGCAAAGCCGGTATCATACACAGACATAAAAATGTGTAAGGTGTGTGAATATCTTCAAAAAGGAGGAATCTAAAATTTGTTTGTAAAAGCTTTTGTTGTACATAACTGACACATGTTACAATGAATCGACTGCAAGTCTTAGCACATTTAACCAAAACAAGAAATGCAGTTAGTGCATTTTTGTTGAAAACATAATTAGATTGCTCGTTACTTCAGAAACCCTAGGGATGCCCTAATATAACCATTTTGCAGTTGAATTGGTTTCTGGGATTGGCCCTTGTGAATTCTTATTCTGGAGGTGTTAATCCTGTGGACAGCGTCCTGGAGCTGAATAATGACCTGAACTGTCAAAAACAAATGCTTCTGTATTATCTCTTATCACATGTGGCATTCAGCCTAGCTCAGATAGGTGGCTGCAGTCACAACAACAGCCATATTTGATGTAGCTAAATTGATTGACAGACACTCATTCCCACCAGGACCACACAACGAGCGGTAAACACCTGCTACCGCCATTCAGATGAGATTCACCCGGGTACAAGTCCAGAAACCCTGTTCAACCCGTCGGTTATATTTAGGGTGTCCAACAACAGCCGGGGCGAGGCTTTGAAACAACAACAAATTCTGCCTCACATTGGGAGAGAGATTGGGTAGCTAGATTTTGGAAATTGTCTTTTTAATCTTTGAATTGTGCAATATAAGAACATTTATTGCATTTTGTAGTCTGGCTATATACTGTGTATAAATACAATTAGTTCAACTGGAGCTGAGTTGTTGAAATGTGTACAATTGGGAAAACAGGTTATGCAGAATTCCAGTTTTGTGAGAATTTAGCCACAGCAGTAGGAAGTTGCCACAAGCTTTTGTGGAAAAAATGTTTTCAGTTATTTTAAATTTGGTTTATTGTTGTTTACTAATGAAAGCTTGTTGCCACATTGTCCTCTGATATTTTTGTGTGTGGTTCCATGCCAGATTTTCATGTTTGGAAATCTAAAGCATGTGTCCAAATATCACTTTAGGGTGAATGTTTTTGAATGACTTAGTCGCACATGCAGGGAAATGACAGAAGATTATGTAGACACTCATATGTCAAGCCATCATTACAGCGAAAGTCATAACTTCAGTTGACTCATCATTTTGTCAGAAACGATTATATTTTGTAACTCAAAAAGAAGACACACACACACACACACACACACACACACACACACAAAGAGAACAGAAAGGAGCATCCATGACAAAATGGTTTTCCTGTGAGGGTCCAGGCAACATTATGGAGAGAGAACTAGAATAGACCCACTGCCCCCCAACAAGCATGTCCTAAGGGTTGACTAATTAGAGCTGTTTCCTTAGAGGTTGGAGTGCATCGGCCTGAGAGGCAGGGAACCAACTGTCTGCACCACACATAAGCCAGATTTGTAAAACGGATGTGCGTGCAAAACTCAAGTCCTGAAGTTAGATTAAAGTGCAGAAGTGGTTGAACAACCATAACTGTCCACTGGAGTTTACGGCCGGTGAACACAAAGAAGAAGCAGAAGAAACAAATGCATCACATGGGCAGTCATCTACTTTGGGATCTAGACTTCATCAGCACCGACAAGAATCACAGAACAGAGGGTAGTGATAGTGTTAACAGATAAATTCAAACTCAGTCTTTGGACCACTGTTTTGTTTGTATCAGACAAATTATCATACTTTGAACAATAATATCCCTGTATGTGTTCTAGGATTCCAGTTCACATGGAAAAAAGAATGATATTAGGAAATGATACACAAAAAGTAATGGTAGAATTTACAAGATGAAATTAGGCTCCCTGTGTTGGTTCTGGGGCTCAATTTTAGGGGAAAAAAAAGAGACCTACTCCAACCCCCCACCCCTCCTGCCACCCTCCACCTGCCATCCTCCACCTGCCACTCCACCTGCCACCCTCCACCTGCCATCTCTCCACCTGCTACTAACAACCATGTTGTAAGAGGCGGCTAATTGGGGGAATTTTCTTTGAAGTCGGAGTGCATCTGCCTGAGATGCAAGGAACCAATAGCCTGCATACAGATAATTCAGGTCTGTAAAATAGATATGTAAGTAAAACTCAAGTTCTGGAACAAGACCATAGTCCAGAAGTGTATGAACAACCTGAATTTTCTGTCGGGGCTTACAGCAAGTGAACGCTAAGCAGAAGAAGAAGACTAGATGACCCACAAATGGACAACAGATTAAGCAGCTCATAAATAGATGATGCCAGATAAACAAGATGTTGAGTAATCACACAGATCAACAAAACATTCATGTATTCCACACATCAATAGATATTAGACTCACAAAGTTAGTTAGCCACACAGTTGAACAAAACATTCATGTATTCCACACATCAATAGATATTAGACTCACAAAGTTAGTTAGCCACACAGTTGAACAAAACATTCATGTATTCCACACATCAATAGATATTAGACTCACAAAGTTAGTTAGCCACACAGTTGAACAAAATGGTCATGTATTCCACACACACAAAGATATTAACGAACAAAAAAAAACAAAACAATTAGCCACACAAAGCAACAAAACAAAATCTGGTAGCCTACACATAAAAGTAAATTTAGACTGCCATAGAACAAAAATGGGCAGACATGCACACATGTGAAGGAAAAAAACATGTTCAAATAGCAGTTAGTATTCTGCTGAGATTAAATTATTTCCACTAGTTTCATTGGAAACAATCGCATAAAGAATGAAATGTGTGTCAGACGCATTTGTTTTGCATATTTTTTATAAAGAATAATATATAACAGTGCATTGTATGTTTACATATTTTGTGTACATATTTTATAGGAAAATATAACATAGATCGGTGTATGGAAAACCGCTCACCGGAATAATATGTATACATAGTTTTCTGAGCTCCCTACTTTACAGGAGCTTTGGTATTTTTAGTTAATTAGTTGAGATGTCTGTTTTATTATCCTTATACCTGGACATTTTATTTCCTTTGTGTCCTCACAGTTCTACATATCACTTTCATTTATTATTTTATATTGTCTGTCTTGTTTTATGTCTTTTGTATTTTTACAAC